GCCCCTTTTTTTTTTTTTTTTCCCTTTTTTTTTGTTTTTTGGTCCCCCCCCCCCCCCCCCCTCTCTCTTTTTCTTTCTCTCTCTCTTTCTTTTTCTTTTTTTCTCTTTCGGTATCTTTTTTTTTTTATCCCTTTCTGTTTCCCCCCCCCCCCCCCCCCTCTCTCTTTCTCTCTCTCTCACACACACCTGGTGGTATCAAAGGCAGAAACGAGGACGGGCAAGGCGCTCTTTTCCAAATCGGGCGCGGCTTGCCCTTCGAGGATGCGATCGAGCAGCTCGCGGGTTGATCTGTGAATGTTCACTACCCCCGGTAGAAGGTTCCGAGAAAAAAGAGACGACCAGACGATGGGATTCCTGCGTATGCAGATATAGGCGCGCGTGCCAATCCGCGAGTGCCCGTCCGGAGAGACACCGAGCGGCGGAAAGTGGGACAGGGATTCAACCTGGGTCGTACGCTCTTCGACTAGTACTGCATGTACGAAATTTGTACCACGAACTTCGAACGAAATAAAATCGTAGTTCGGTGTCGGGGCATCGGCTCTCCACCTGCAAGACCACGACAAAAACACTACATCTCCGTGAGAGGAAAATTGATCGTGGTGGTCCGCCAGATAGTTCTCCCGCACGCACGAAACCGACCGGAGTTGACCCCGAGGCCCGTGTTGTCGTCTGCCATGAGGTAGTGAGATAGCACGCCCCCCCCACCTACAGAAGGTGATATTTTTCCTCGCAGTAAATGGCTGGCCCAGCAGATGAGGTGGACCAGGCAAAACCCACACAAAGCCAGCCAACACATTACGAAGCGGCCTCTTTCAGAAACAAGGAAAAATATTCCGAAGCAGGCTACCATGTCGGGCTTCTCGATGTCCCCGTAGTTGTGTACACTACATTGTAGTTAATTTTGAACCGAAAAAATGGTGGCTGTCACTCAAGCCTACCTTAGTTTTCAACCGCACGAGCAGAGCACGGAGGTGGGAAGGCAAGATACGCACCTGGCCTCGGCTCTCTCCATCGTCTCTCGCAGCTTGTCCGTCTCCATCGTCTACGATCCGTCATCCGACATCATCACGACAGGGACAAGGATCATCAGCATAAGGATCAAGATCCGGGGGAAAAACAGCCTCGACAACGGGGGGCGGGATGATGGGGCCTTCACGAACCGCAACCTTCGATACATACATGTAAACGAACGCGGGACGCCCCCACGACTTGCAGCCTGCGCTCTCGAGACCGGTTTCCTTGCCATTCACAAGCAGCATGCGGTTTAGTCCAACAAGAATGCCAACCACGATCTTGTTCCCAGCCAATACCGTGAAAGTGCGGGCGAACGCACAGCAGGTGTGCAATCGATATTTTTAATGCTCGATTGCTCCATAACCAATGCCGCCAACGCCGAAAATGGTGGGGGTGGTTTTGGACAGATCTCGTCGACAGCTATAATTTCTGAATTTCCTTGCACGTGTCCGGTGGGGTTTCCGCGCTTTTCGTTGCGGAGCAATCGATCTTAAAAAATCGGTCTCACAAAAACCCGCATTTTGCGTTCACCTCGCATTTTCACGGTCACATGCACGACCCTCGCTATTAGCACAGAACCCACGCAGCAAAGTGGTCGCTCACCGCTGCCCAGAGGACGGCCACCAGCGCTCCGGCTGGAAAAAAAGAAAGCATTGCAGACCACAAGCATCAGGGCACCCACAGAACGGAACAGTTGCGGGATAATCAATCGCTCCGCATATTGTACCGTTGCAAGCAGTGGTGTTTTACCGATCATCAGCGTTGGCGCCCTGATCGGGGAGTTGGTGCGGAACCCGAAAAAACAGGGATAGAGGACTTTTGCTGGATTTGAGAACGGGGATGGTTGAGCACAGAGTTCCGAATTCTATTGTTTTTCTCGCCCGCCTCCGCCCCTGAAGTCAAACAACGGTTTCTCAGTTGGGGCGCAATTGCGTGCCACAGCACGTGGCGTGAACCGAGGAAAAATTTCGAGCTGGAGATGAACAACAACCCCCGTACAGAACGCGGTCCCACTTAGAAAACTTACGCGCAACATGTGTGTGGGGTTCAACCAAGCTACATTGTCCCGCTCGTGGCGTCTACAGCAGTATGCCAACAGCAAGAGCCCAAACGTAGGACTGCAGTTGGATTTCGCGTCCACCTCCCGACTATGTCAGCGTCCGCACAGATCGGCAAACTCGTACCGTGGGGCTGTGTTCGTAGCAGTTTGTTGCAGTACAAGTTCGATTCCCGCATGAGGAGCGGAGCAACAAGCACCGGTAGGTTTGGCGCGAGCGGGGACAGGTTGCCTAAGATACCACACACCCTGGACCGATTTTCAAAGCTCGAGTATTCCACGACGAAGAGGATGCAGAAACGAAACGATACCTTTTCGGAAAGCTTAAGACGACTTCAATGCCGCCGTCTTCGGCGCTGCCACTCTTTCTGCTGTGGAGAAACCCACATTAGCTTTGTAAATCGGTCCAGGAGGTGGGGGGGAAAAAAATGTCCAAGATGTGGAACCTATATTGCTGTGTACGGCAATTCCTCCGACGATGATCACGGGTCTTTGCATACGAAAACTGTAAGCAATTAGCCTGGCACCTAGTTATGTGACCAATGCATGCAGCTTTTTTCGTTGACACGTGAGTGTTTTCTGGTGCACATGGGGAAGACGGACGTCCTCAACAGCAGCGGACACACGGACTGTATGCGTGCGTTCCAGAACGGTCGCCAGACCTACCTGCAGCTCGAACGCTGTGTCGAACTCTGCAATCTTTCGCTCCGTAGTTCGTTGATAGAGACACACTCCATACCTCCCACACAAAACAAATTAACCAAAGAGGACCGACGACCCACCGCCCTGGATCGCACTCGAGGACATGTTTCGCAATCAACCGGCTGACACTGAATCCCTCCGATCAATGAGTGAGGTTGGAAGAGATTAGACTATGCTCAATCCCTCACCGGAGCTCCCTGAAACTTTGGCGGGAGATAGCCCACTCTCGACCAAAGCGCACACAACGCCAGCGTGGCACCATAGCCCAAGCCAGCTTGAACTTAGGGCAAGGCTAAATGGTCCCTCGCCTAGCCACTCCCTCAGGGTCCCTGATGCCATGCCTGCTTTGGAAAGCTGCTGCCGAGCTGACATGCATCAGAGAATGCACTGCAGGGGGCGACGCACTCCGGATTACAGTTAGAGAGAAGGTGGGGTGAGGTTGGATACGTAGGTTGCATAAGATATCACACCCTCCGGACCGATTTTCGAAGCTCGATTTCTCGGCAAGAAAAATCATTGACGGTGCCAAAAATGGTGGGGTTGGAACCGCCTTGTTGAGAGCTTTCCGAAAACATAGCTTTTGATTTCGTCACCCTCTTCATCGTGGAGTAACCGAGCTGTGAATATTGGTCCAGGGGGTGTGATATCTTACGCATCCACCGGTAAGTATATTGAGGTTTACTCGTTGTGGCTGGGCTGGCTCTTTTTTCCATATCTTTCAGTGTCGCATGTGCATGATACATTTTTCCCATTCCCCCTTTGAAGTTCACCCCTCCGCACGAAACCGGAACCTCTACAGGGGAGAGGGTGATTGCGTCCCACGTGATATTTCTGATTTGGGGAGCAAGTGCGGGGGTGGACTTGGTTCCGTTGGTAGACTATATGCGTGGTGTGGATAAGGGTAGATACCTTAGAAGGTGGGGCTACGAGTTTAGTCCATGTCTTGGAGGAATATATTTGATTTCTAGAAAGAAGGTGTACCCCCTTTTCGGGGTAGTTGGCTTGTGACCACGGAAAGCTTCCGCGTCAGTTGGACCGGCGGACATTATTACAAGGTACTGAGCAGAGACCGGAACAACAGTGTTTTGTAATGTGAATACATACATACAGTAGTAGAACAACAACGACAAAAACGCTTCTCCTGCTGTACGGGAGCCTCGAGCTGAACGATTTGCTCTCGTTTCGTGTCGGGGGCAGTTCGCCCGACCTTGGTTGCAAATGTCTTTGTGTTATTTCGTTTAGGCTTTCGAAGGCGAGGTGCTTCTCTTGCTCTATCTAGCTGGATAAAGCAAGCAGTCTCCGTCGACGGATTTGAAATAATATAATACTGCTGCTGCTGCGCTACTCCTCACGTTCGCGTCTATCTACTGTGTGTAGAAGGTGTATCTGGTTGTGTGGAAGGGACTTGTAGACATGAGCCAGGACAGCAGTACTTAGGTCAGGTGTCCGACGACAGCAAGGCCAAAAATGCATGCTCCATTTTCGTGTTCACCCAACGGAAACATCAATTCTCGTGGTGATGGTCGACTACGATCATTTGAAACAATCTATCGCAGGCACTCAGCGCATAGAGGCAGTTGTACCTCATCTCTTACCGCCACCTGCCCTCAAAAGGGGGTCGTATGTTTGCCTCCGTACATGTACTTCCACGTACGAACCGAGGGTATAGTATCAATCGTGACTTTAATCTTCCGACCGATAACCTTGCTTTTTCATGTGTGAATGTAGAACTCATCTCGTTTTCGAGGTTACGCATCGAGTGTACCCTTTTTTAGGATAGAAGAGACTAAACGGTGGGACGTCGTCGGCAGCTGGCACACCACGACATCTACACACAAACGCGTAGTAATGGCATACGTAACCGCACCAAGTTGAGGCAAGGGGGGGGGGTTCAAGCGACGCCATGACAACGACGACGGCATGTGGAGGTTTTCACCGCAACACCACACATACGTTTTCTAGTGTTCAGCGGCCTGAATGTGGATGATCCCCCTTGTCTGTGGTTGGTTTGTTCACTAGGATGAACAAAGAGGTCACCCGACCCCGCAGCGTGTGGTTTCGCTGTTTGCCGGTACATGAACGTGCATGAAGAGTTTCATAAAACACTACATAAAAGAGTAAGCAATACGCGAAAATTATCATTGGCCGAACGAAGACTATGCACAACACATGACCAAAATCTCCACTTTGTTCGCTGCCACAAAAATGTCGCACAAGCTGGGCACGCAAAAACCAACTAAAGCGTTAAAAAAAAGAAGTACACCATCAACACACACCCAACAATATCGCTACACGTAGTAGGCGCCCCTTCCACACAAACTTACAGTAATCTACGTTACTACACAGGCGCTCGTCTCCCCCTACTGCTAGAGCCCGCGAGCTTGTCCACCAACGCGGAAACAACCGGAAGGTTGAGGAGGTTGCCGACCACGGGCGTTGCTCGCAATGCTTGGACCGCGATGGGAATGAAAGGCCCGAACAGGTTGAGAAAACCAACCACCTGGGCATGGACGAGGGGGGAAATGTACGTAGGCAGACCATGGTTGGAAAAGGACGGACAAAGATACTATTGTAGCAGCAACAGGAGGAAAGACAAGGAGGAAAACTGTGGAACGCGTGTCTACTATGAACTACTACAAAGATTTGGTCGTGTTTGGGCTCGGGGGTTCATGCACGGATGTTCCACGCCGGTGACGTTCACAAGTACGCACGTCACTACTTTAAGTGCGTTTGAAGTATGCAAATCTTTCGGCATAGCTATGTGTGAGTCACTGCAGCAACGTTGTGTCCGTTGTTCACGGCATGTTGGAACACAAGTTTCACGGAGGTATGTTGTGCACTGGGTACTCAAACGGCCAACGGGAGGCAAGGACTAAAGATTGTTCCAATAACAGCGTGAAATTGCGTGGCCTATCACACCAATCCTTAAACCAACAACGGCTTCACTTACGGTGGAAAGGGCCACTACGTAGAGCAGCGTGGTGTATCACAAGCTTGAGTCTACGGCAAACGAAGCTATGTAAACACAAGTGTAGACTATATTAGAGTAAATGGCAACGGAGTAAGCCGATCTAACGTTCCTGCTTTGCGTACATTGAGCTGATTGCAGTAATGTCAGATGCTGAAACCGGACCCAACCTGGTAAGTCTCGACCGCAATAACACGGGCACGGAACGCAAAAAACAGTGAAACTCCGGCAATACATGCCAGCAGATATCGAGAAAAAACTCTTGGACATGAACGAGACTGAAACAAGCCGCACAATCCGAGAGACCCTCGACTTTTTTCTCGCTCTTTCTCACCTGAAATCCCATCCCAATAACCGCCCAGTTGAGGAATACGAGCGCGACCCCGCCGAAGAAGCATAGATTGCCCCGCACTTGTTTCCGTTTGAAGAAGAACACGAACGTTCGCCTCGTCCCGATGGTCATCGTTATTCCTGCCAGGAAAAGCACGTCGCCTGGTGTGCGCACGCGCACCAAGCAAGAAATGCGGCAACGACGACAAGGGAGAGAGAGGGACAGGAAAGGCATGTGTCGAGGATCTGGCCGGAGAAAACCTGCTGTGTTGAAGGAGGTTGGGCACTTCGCGCAACAGTCGTGGCTCCGATATAAGAAGGTGGTGGGACGAAGGCCCTCGACCCTCTTATATCGGAGCTCCCTCTTGTGCCGGATTAAGAGAGTACTCAAGTATACTATAGATGGTCGAGTCCGTGACAACCGATTTCGACCCTCTTATATCGGAGCCACGACGGTACACCGGTAATGGCCCAAGCAGCTGGATACGAAAGGTTGCAACAACGGGATTCCGTGCATACCTATGCATACGAAGGGGGGTGACGACCTCCAAGTCCGAAGAAAGATTAAGAATACACGACGTTCAACAATCCCGTGAGCAGTTCCGCGCATCCATGCCCACGTTTCGAGGCAGAGGGCATGCGAACTGCAGCAGATATTTCGTGCGGGGTCACCGCAAAAACTTAAACTTTCCTTTCTTTTCTTTTTCATTCTTTGGTACCTCGCATAGCATGTAGAGTCGAGCGGAGGATTCTAGACTATCTGTCGTTGATTTCAATTGACCTGCGGGCCCTTCGGGTCCATTGCATTTTATTCGAATACCTTTCGTGGGTACGTTGGCCTGCGACCACGGGAATCGACCGCGTCAAGTGTTGGACTAGTACGGACAGAGGAAGGTGCCGGGTAGAGAGAACGGAACGGTTTTTAACGTGAAGACAACAACAACAACAACAATAGCTGAAGTTGGCCTCATCGGGGAACATGCGCCGTCGAGACGTGTGTTTTGCTTGGGAACTGCCTGATCGTACAAGGTGTGAAAAACGAACTCAGAGGTTCAGCGGATTGTCCGCGGGCATAAAAACGTTCTTCAGCAAGGAACTTTGGAGGTCCTGTTTGGCTGCCGCTTGCTTCGACGAGTCGGTCGCGCACCAATCTTCACGCCACCACGGCTGTGCGCGTACTTCCACAACCAAATTTGGTAGGTGTGCAGAGATCGCGTCTTCTTTCTGAGTCTGGTTAGTCACGAGTACCTCTAGTTGAACATAGTCATGTGATTACCGTGGGTATTTTTCCGTTGACGGTTGGATTGGGTACCAAAAAACTGTGCAGCTGTAATGAAATGTAGACGTCGGCAAGATAGAAAATGAAAGTCTGACCCCGTCACCCGACTCGACTTGAAAAACAGCAACAACAGCAACAACATTAGCAACAACGACAAAACAATCGACGAACACCAGTGAACCAATTGTGGTCAGAAAATACACAGCTGCCGAATGGTGTTGTTGTCAGAGGTTGGCCTTTTGTCGATGGTTCCGCACCCTCCAAAAAAATTAGCGCCTCCCAGTGCACCACCGCCCGCGTTACCCTCGACACTATTTCCATGACGAATACTGTAGAAACTTAGCAGCCCATGTACACGAAAGGCTTAACCCCTTTGGGTCTAGGCTGGACTGTCAGATTTTTTTTTTGCGTCGAAAAAAAAAATTAGAGCGAGAGCGAGCGGGAGAGAGAGAAGTGCAGAGAAAGACACCAGTGTACTTCTGCACACGCAACAGCTACCTCCAACTGTAGGCCATGAGAGAAGCCGGCGACAGGGTGGTGGCCACGGACAGGGTTGTAGAAGGGTTGATGGGTGGTCGCGCTGCGGTCAGTAGGGCAGGTTAGCTGTGTAGACTTTGAAATGATCAGTCGTCTAGCTGCCTCAACTAGTCTATTTTCGGTATATTGTAAATGATCAGTCCAGAGAGGGCAAAATGATCAGTGAAGACCCATAGCTGGTATTTGTACTTCTGTACTTCTCTGTTCTCTGTCCCCCCCCCGAAATGTGCCCTGCCAGCTCTCTAGAGCTCCTGTGTTTTTCAAACAACATGCACATCCACCAGCACACACCTGTACCTCGTGGTTTCCTAGGTTCGGGCGAGGGTGGTATGTGTGGCGCTACGAGTGCGGATGTGCTGAAATGTTTTACTCGTCTACAGCAGTAGTAGTAGTGTTGTTGTAGCGTTCGTTGTAGCTGCCTACACAATGACTGCTGGATCTTGGGAACGATTTTCAAATTGTTGGTAACCACGATATCCTCGATATCTGGGCTTCGGCAGGGATTGCAATACCCCTCCCGTTTGCTGCCCTCTGCTCTTTGCAGCAGCAGTGGCTTCCTACGTTCGGGCGAGTGTATGTGTGGTGCTGCGAAAGAACACATATGTATGTATGTATGTATGTATGTATGTATGCACACACGCGTTCATTGACATGTGCATACGTTGAGAGATTCATGATTTGGCATTGATTGGCCCCATTCCCATTCCCGAGACCTTGATATTACCCGCCGCTGTCACTGAAGTCTCTTCATTGGTCAGCCGGTTAGCGCGGGTCCTAATAATCTAGACACACCTACCTATGGACTTGCCAATACACGGCGCAGGGCGGCAACTCCACGACTTGCCACTACACCAGCATTTGCAAAAGATCAATCAATGATCAGTGAGAACGCCTGAAGACTCAAAAGGGTTAAGCCATTGTTGCTCACAGGAAACAAAGCAGCAGGGAATCGTCGTGTGTTATGCCAGGCAATGGCCTCTCTCCCCGGCGCTGCTTGGGCAAACAAGTCGGCGGCTGACAACGGCTGACCCGAATCGGCGAGATACATGTACAAAGGTGCGCTGGCGGTGCGGCAAATCGAAATACCGTTCTTGTTGACACGTTTCAAGGATGAGCTCCAACCAATGCACCTTGCATCAAGGTACAGAAGATCAAACTCAGCAATCCCCCCCCCTATTTGAATGAGATGCGATAAATAAATTAATTAAGTCATACGCAGCTGTCATCCGTACGCAAGAAAGTAAGCACCAGATGCCGAACAGGGAAGACTTAGTACATACACAAACACCCCCGGAAGGATAGATTGCAAGCGTAGAGCGGTACACAGAAACGTTTATCTCTAAACTGCCAACCGCATTAATTCACGCCGCACGCACCGATTGCCAGCAGTCCGGGGTTGAATAACATCATCACCCCGAGCAGCAGGAATATCCCACCAAGCGCCAGCAAGCCCATCCCTATTTTTCTGTTATCAGACATCATCCTGCTGGTGCTGGTGAATGTGCTCCGTTCGCCCGTTATCGCTAAGCCCGTTTGCTGTGCGCTGCTGCCGCTGCTGGCGGTGTATTGGAACAAATCCCTGGCTTGGGTGCAAAACCGTCCGAAGTCCTTTGCAATTTTCGCCTGCCACGGCAATGAAGAGTGCGTATAGGAGTGTGACCGAGGCTGATGCTCGCTCTGTGTCGCTCGCAAAGGCCTTTTATCTTCTCACCCAATGAGACTGCGCCACTTGCTTGCACATATCGGCGGTGTCGGTGGGGGGCATCGATAGACTGGATAATGTCATACCCGGGTATCCAACGGAAAACGTGTGACGGGGCCCCTGGACCGACGAAGACCATACGGGACTGGCGCCTGGCTCCACGTGATTCAGCACGAGGGCACGAGGGCTGAGGGGCACTCATCTCGTGATCCCTTATGCGCACAAAGATAGCCCGCAAAGATGGTGGGGGTAAACATCAGCGCCGAGAGGCCCTCCCTGAGGTCCGAGCGGGGCTGGTCCTGGTGAAGAGCAAAGATGTCGGTCGATCTCGACGTCCTCGCAGAACCTGGGTGCTCCCAGTGCTGCGCGTGTTGGCCTTGGCCGCGTCAATGCTCTGCCTCACTCCCACGGGTGGCATGGTCACAGGGATGTCGAAGATGGATGCTTGGAGCGCAGGTTCCGGGCCCGAGCAGCAGCACGAGGATCGTCGGCCGACCGGGTGCGTAGCGGGTGCAGCAGCGTAGGTTTTTTGCCCCGCGCGTGGTTGAATCCGTTTTTCTCGTCCTGGCTGTAACGCACTGACTTTTTTACGACACACATTCCTTTGTTTGGCGGGTAGCCGAACAGGACCGTCGATAGATCGTATCGGTGGCCCTCCCACGCGGCATCACGGGTGTCTCTTGCGTCAGGCTTTCATGCTAAAATGAATGCACGGTGCTGTGTGTTTTTTTGCCGCGTCCGCCGAAACGAGAAGGTCGATCTATTTTGTTACCATACCGTCGCTGGGCACACCGCGCTGCTTTTTTGGTCCACCAAACTCCGGAATGCATGTACAAGTACACACCCAGCAGGGCACCCGAGCAGAAACATGTGCAAGTCGTTGCTTGCTGTTGTTACGTTTTAGACGCACGTCTGTCTCAAGCTCTAGTCGGCGAAATGGTGCGGGCATTTCGGTCATCCGCGGCAGTATCAGATTCTGTAGGCAGCAAGCAAGAAGAAGATTTGATTCCCAAGGAACCTTCCAGGTTTGGAAGTTTCGCTAGACGATGACGGTTATGTACCGATTCGAGCGGACCACTGCTCCCAGCAAAATGCAGGTACACGGCTGTACACGGCTGTACACGGCTGCTGGGTGTGTGCGGTTGTGGAGTGGGTCGTAGACAAAGAACTACGAGATAAGTCGTCGCTTACTTACTGGCACAGCACGTTTCTGGACGAAATAAAGCATGACGACGAGTGTTAAGTGTTGCGCTCGTTGTCGTCGCGTCTTGTCAAAGGCACATATCACAGCAGTCTACAGTACATACTTGCAGCCCATGTTGTCTCTCCATCGTTCGTTGGTTGAAAATTGAGAACTGACTGAGGCCACTTTCCGGGCAGTGGAAGCTGGTAGAAGACCAAGCAGCGGCAGTAGCACGGGGCTCATGACTTGTTTGAAGAAATCGGGTTCTTACGTTTCGGCGATTTCTGCAAATCCTCCCTTATGGTATATCGAAGCCGCCGCTACTGCTGCAATGCTCTTGCAACTTGGTCTCTTTGAGATGGTGGGGATAACCGGAGCATAACATAACGACAAGCTTGGACAAGCCGAAATGCTTCGTGTTTAAACATTTCTTCTAAATTGTGTCTACTCATGAGTATGCATATATACCATTGCTGTGACAAACGGGTTTGACTCTCTTATCTTCGTACTCCTGTCTCTGATCTCGCCACTGCTGTAACGGTGTTGTCAACAAATGGATCGGAGAAAGCGTGAAAGGCACAGCAGTAGAGCGTAAGCTGGCACGTGTTGCACATATGCGGTCGTTCGTTGGTTGCGTCGCACCTATCAATAGCACGGGCCGTACGAGCACCAGGCCCAGCCATCTAGGTATGTAGATGCCTTTGGTCCACATCGATTCACGGCATCTAAACAACTATGTTACCGGTTCGACATCTGGATGGGTTTTGTTGGTTCGCATCGATTCACCGCATCTAAACAAAATGTTAATCGTGTGCGACATTTAAATGGCTTTGGTTCACAGAGATTCACGGCATCTAAACAACTGCGGAGTATGTATCAGTTTCGACATCTACATGCCTTTGGCTCACACCGAAGCATCTTAACAGCTATGTTTACGTTTGCTTCGTTTCCGACGGTATTATGTGTAGCGTCTGGGGGCAGCAGCAGGAGCACGTGGTCTTCGTCGGGGTCCCTGAGGAAACCGCGGTGCTTCCGCTCAAGGCGCTGGCGCAAGAGATGATTGGGAGAGGCTACCGTGCCAGCCTCGCTCTGCCCCACGGATTCCAGGCCTGGTGAGTGCATGAAGGGGGTGGAGGGCACGATGATGCGATGGTGGCTTTGAGGGTAGGCATTCCGTTGGTGAGACAGCGTGTCTTTGGTCAAAGAGTTTGCAAGAGTATCGTCATACCGCTGTGTAGCAAAACCTACGCAAATCGAGCGTCGGTTGTCCGATCTCACTCTGTCCTTCTGTGTAGCACATCTACACAAGATGATCAAGGTGTGTCCAGTGCCCCCATTCCAACCATATCCTTCCATGCCATCACTCGCCTCTATTTTAGACCCCCTTGCTATTTCTGTGTTGTGCTCTGCCTTTCTTCCTTGCTCTCTCTCCCCCTCTGCCTCTCTATCGCTGGCCTGTCTCCGCCGTCCCCCACGTAATTTTGCCGTTTCACATATCACCGACGCTGTTGTTCCGCTTCAACCAGGGTGGAAGACATCCCCGGTCTTTCCTTCCTCTCCCTCAAGCCCACCGGCGGGGCCCCCAACTCCAACGCCACCACACACAGCCACGGGACCCCCGCAACAACTCCGCAACACCACCTAGCAGCAGCGGCGGGAGGAGCAACGGCGATTACAGACGCTGAGGAGCAGCAGCAGCAGCAGCATGCCCCGTCTCCGTATGTCGCCCACCCTTGCCCCGCGCGCCCCCCGCCCACCAACGGGAGAAGGAGGCCTTGTTCGGGGGAGGGGCTCGGGGACGCTTGGGGGGGGGGGGTCGGCGGCGGGTGGGGCGCCGGGCTCGGTATCTGGAGGGGGGTGAGGGGGAGCTTGGTGGGGGCGAGGGACTTTTTCGGGCACCTGAAGACGTACCTCGGGTTTTACCTCCGGGAGGAGGCGGTGATGTACGCCCCTTTGTTAGAGGTGAGGTGCTGGGTGTGACGGTGTTCTGCATGCACATGAAGTTTTCCCGTACACAGCCGTAACGGTTTGTGCGTGCGTACCAGTGCACCTGTATAGAGTAGTCGTCCGTAGTTTTCAGTCCGGTTTATGTGACCTCAGGCCGGTTTATGTGACCTCGGTGTGGTCGACCATAGTTTGCGGCCCGTGTGTTCGGGCAAGGCAAATGGTTCCAAGGTTCCAGATCTGAATCGATGTCGCTGGGTACAGAGAAGTCCAGAACATGAAAATCCTGATGCCTTCATTTGACGTTAGATTTTCACTTAGATAGTGACCGACTTCTGAAGTTAAACGTAACGCTACAAGCATTGCGGGCTGGTTGCGAAGTCGTGGCTGAAAGAAGTGTTCTACTGCATCATAGTGGTTATCGCACGGGGTTGGCGTTTGTGGCTTGGAGTTTAAAAGAGACGGTAGAAGGGATTGCGAAGTGTTTCTGCATTCATTCCCGCATACCATGTGACAGGAGTACGATCAGACGATACTCGCATCCGCATTAGAGCGACACCGCGGCAAAAGTGTAGACACGCAGTGAATGCTGCTATCGGGCACTGGCTAAAATGGTGCTCCCGGCTACCCATCGAGAGCTGTTGATGGGATGATGGGGGACTCTCACTGCTAATTCCAAGCACGTGTGTGCCACATCGGATATGAGCAGAAAGCCTCGTTCCCGACCCAGGTTCTCCCCTCGGTTTTATTTCAAGTGATTCGAATAAGCTACACGGGTAGTTACCGGCCAAACGGGGCGGTAAGCAACAACGGCGGTGATTTTCCCGCTACACCCGGGGTAATACTCTGCGGTGCCCCATTTCACACAGACGCGTGGACACACACATACAGAGATGACACGTTTTCTGGACGCGATAGTAAAACTTGACCCTGCTTCAATTATATTTCTTGTGTGCGGACAGGCTCTTCGGCGGGACCCTCCCGCCCTCGTCATTGCCGACCGGAGAGCATCGGCGGCGTTCCGAGCGTGCTCGAGGCTAGGCCTGCGCTGCGTCGTGAACAGCGCGGGGCTGCTGGGCGACCTCGATCGGCCGCCAAACTCTATCCCCGCTCCCTACACTGGTGAGGGCGATGACACCGCGGTTGAAGTCGTTGTGTTTTCACCAGACAACATTGTAATGTTGTAGTTATGTGAAGACAGCATTAACAACAACAACAACAACAACAACAACAACAACAACAACAACAATCACCATTGTTAGAATTGTTAGATTAATGTCACCATCATCACGATATTGTAATAACTCAATCTCGTATTGTTTTCACTGCGGATGTGAGTCGGGAGGGGCAACGTGCAGGAGTTTTTCGAAGTGTTATCTATACCCTGTTTAGGTACACAGGTGCCGTTGACCACGCAAGACATCCGCGTCAGTCGGACCGGTACGGGTATTATATGGAAGAGACCGGAACAGTTTTTATTTTGTGAAGACAACAAATAGCAACGAGAAGCTCTCGACGAGGTGGTTGTCGTTCCACCTTCAGCATTTTCGGCACGGTCACTGCTGCTGTTGCTGCAGATTGTAATCGAGCTTTGATGGTCGGTGTAGGGGGGGTAGTATCTCGCATATTCATCCTACGGTGCTCACCCTGACAAATGGTCGTGCGAACACAGCTGGAGCTCGGCGTCGTACTGTGCACGATTGATCTCCCTCCCGCTTCGTTCCATGCTAATCTTGTTTTGTGCCTGTGCTATCCCCTTTTCGTGGTCTTCAGGTTTCCCGTTGGAGGGTCAGACGATAGGACAGCGGGTGCACAGCAGCCTGTTTCGCCTGGTGCTCGCTTTGTCGAGGATGCAGGCAAGTCTTGCTGCCGCACCACCGGCGGTGTACATATCGTTTCTGCTGATGAGTGGCGTTGGGTGCTTCAAGTGAACATTGAATGTAACTCGGGTGAAGTTGTAGCCGCTGCTTGTGAATCAATTTGTCAAGCACTACAATTGTAGTAAGGCGGACACCCGTACCATGGCGGGTACCCTACCCTGCACTGCTTTTTTTTAACCAGCTTGATTTCTCCCTATCACGCGGTTTTTGCGGGCCGGTTCACCGGCGCTATGAGGGGACTGTAGGGAGTGTTGTAGACGCATCAACCGTTCACACGGGGTCATACAAGACAGAGAGTGACGTTCCGACAACGTGCATGGTGACTTTGGTCAACGCTGATGCTGTCGAATTGACGAGTGCTTCTCATCGGATCTGCATGGTATCGCCGTGCTTGCTTGCTTTTATTGCTTCTTCTCTTATCCTTTTTTTGGTCTCTTGCTTTTTTCTTTTTGTCCTTTTTTTTTTTTTCACCACGATAGGCGGCTCGCGAGGCTGACCACGACTTAGCCTCGTGGGCGAACGACCGGCCAGTTTTAGGCTCCGAAGAGGGCCCGCATCATCACCACCATCAAGATCATCACCACCACCATCAGCAAGACCCAAGGTCGTCCACCGTGATGGCTCTGGGCAACAGCTGCTTTGGCAGCTTGGAGTATCCTCGAGAGCTTCCCGCGAGAGTGCATATGGTGAGCATTGTACAAGACATGATTGTTGTTGGTGGTGGTGGCGGTGGTTCAAAGTAGAAAAAAAAATACTGGCAACAAAAGCAAAGGAATTCCGAGCTTACACTCCGCGTGTGTGACCCGGGCTCGTGAGTCAAAACACATGTTTCCGGAAGGTGTATGGGTCGTTGGTACGAAACGAAGAGGCTGTACACAGTACAGACGCATGAAGAACATTGTTCTTTTTGGTTCGTTCAGGTTCGCTGAGCTGTTCGAGCTTGAGAAACGTCACTGATGGCAGCTGCTAGGCGATTCACACCAACACATGATATGCTTTCATCTTGCGTCACGCCTTGATAACACTACCACTATACCCCACTCCGGAGGCGTGCCTTGCAACTTAAACAAAAGTATATCCACTTACTGAAAAATACTTCACCACGTCCCTTTCGACTGAGGTTATATCTCGAACGGGTAGTCTTTCTGTGAGGTTACGTTTACTTTCTAAGAAGTATGTTAACGTAAATAACGGCTCCATGACCGCTGTACCGTCCAGGTGGGTCCGTTATGGATGTCTTCATGGACGGTTGACGACCAAAACCATTTCAACGGCGGACATCGGAGCGAGGGTCACTTCGCGAGTGGCCATCACGGTAACACCGGGGCCGGTTCTCCTGCCAAAAGCAAGAAGAGCAAGGATGACGACGGCGGTGCCAAAGGAGGTGGTGGCGCCGCTACCGCGCGGAAAGGTTTTGCTAGAGATACGGCGGCGATGGAGGGCGGGGACGGGACGGCGAGAGGGAACGAGGCGCTGGAGGACGTTTGGTCCTGGTTAGAGCCGGTGAGCGTGTTTGTTGTTGGAGTGGCACGTTGGGAGAGTTGTGGCCGGTCGACAAGGGTTTCATGTACGTAGGCATGTTGACGTGCATGCGTCTACATATGTATGTGCAGGTGGATTTATTGTTAGGATCGACCGCGATAACCGTCTGACCGATGAAAATACGCCAGTGTGTGTGTGCGTGTGTTTTGTAACGATATCGTCGTCCGTGGTGTCTGGTCAATCTCTCGTGAGATTGCTTGCTGGTGCCGCTGCTGGGAACCCCACCCGGGTCGCGGCGCTACGGGGAACCTGCGCTTGCTACAGCAGCGTTGGCTGTAGCTGCTTGACCCTGCAACCTTATTTTTGCAATGGCGGCCATGTCCGACTCCGTTCCTAGATTCGCATACTCGGTCGAATGCTTGTTTACTAAAGCCGCTTGGACTGCTGTTGTTGATATTTTTGGTGTCGACTAGTCTACCAATTTTCTCGGTCTGTTTGTCTACAACCCTCGCCGGTGGCGTCTTCGAGCTGAAATATAGAATCATACTCTAGGGTAGTCGCGCGTACTCACATATGCTGGAGGGGCTTTAGGTATTTGGGCGCTCGAGCACACATGCAATGGGCCTTAATGTTGACGCTGCCATCGGCCCCTTTTGTTTTGTTTTTTTCCTCGTCTTCAAGAATGTGATCGCTCGGGCTCTAAAACGACGGAATATTTGTAGAGTTCGCCTTGGGCGTCTACTGCATGTGGCGTAAGATATCACACCCCCTGGACCGGTTTTCATCGCTCGAATACTCGGCTGCAAAACCAGAATGACGGTGCCGAATGGCGGCCTTGGGGAGCCGCCTCGTCGAGAGGTTTCCGTCGGTGATGTTGATGCCGATTCGCCTCTGTCTTGTGTCTGTTGGCGTTGTTGATGCCGTTTCACCTCTGTCTTGTTGCCTGTTGATGATGCCGTTTCGCCTAACCGCAGTACCTTCAGCATTCATGGCGCGACCTCGTGCGTTGCTCATGTTTTTGTCCGCTGCCTTGTTGAATGCTTGGGTGTATCCAGGAGGGCGTGGGCGAAGATGACGCTGCCCCCGTGGTGGTTGTGCAGCTCGGCTACGGGGGAGGGTGGGCGTGGGGCGTGTCGCCGGATGCCGCAGTGGGAGGCAGCGAAGGGGAAGATGGAAGTGGCGCCCGGCCGTCTTGGAAGGCTTTTCGTGAAGAGGTGGGAGGGGGGGCGTACTCGTGTTTGGCATGAGATCATTGACCACACGTGCTCGAGAGGACAGGGGGGGACGTTTTGCTCGTTTGCGGTATTCGCTTGGAATGCAGCTGGCGAAATCTTTTACATGTTCGTACCGATGTGTCTCTCTCTCGGCCGTCTTGTTTGGCTTTGGAAGGACCAAGAGTCCCAGTGCACCAACGGGAGCTCCGTTGCGCAAAGAAGTGACGAAGCCAACACGAAACACACATTCGTGTGCTAAATATGTGGAGATGGAGATGATCTTTAGAACGGGTCCCGTCTCCCCAATACGTATCTTGTCTTTCGAGGGCGATTAACTCCTTCTGTTTGCGTTGGCGCGACGAAAGATTTCTGATCTTGGTTTCACAGTCGTCTTTCTTGAAACGTTCTCTCTCTTTCTCTTCCTCCCTCTCTATCTCTTCTCTCTCTCCCCCCCCCCCTCTCTCTCTCTGTGTGTCTCTCGCTCGTGCGTGATTCGCTGGTTGGCTGCTGTATCTACTTCACGCCATTCTACTACCACCAGACGGCAACGCAGCTATCGGCGGTGGGATGCCGAACGCTCTGGCTGGACCACCGCCCATACCCTGACCACCGTAGTCAGCCCAGCGAGGATCAAGACGAAACCGCCGCTGATGAACCCAAGAACGGTTCCGGAGACCATTCCGCGGAACGTTCCGCCGTAGGCCGGAGTTCTTTGTGGAAGCGATATACGGAAGGATCGGAACCACCAAAGACTACGCCGTTGCCTTCGAGTGCTGGCGGAATGGAGGAAGACGCCGAGCTGTTGGCGGCCGGCGGCGGTGATAGAAGGACGGGCCCCCCGCTTGGTGGATGGGAGTTGCTGGACGGGAGGCAATCTTTATTGTTTTTTGACGCGGAGGGGATGGTGGCCTCCTCCGAGTCCGAGTGGCTGTTGAGGTGAGCCTAATGGACTCCTTCGTTCAACGGCTCTTCCTGTCTGTTGTTTCCTTTCATGTTGAGTATGTTTATTTTATTAAACCTACGAAGACCTGCTGTTTGTAACGACTTCTGTTTTGTTGTTTTGTCGCTACCGTCCCGGCCTGTCGCATACACCACGCAGCAAGAAGCTCTCAAACCCGAACGTACGGAATGGTGTCAACAGTCGAACCCTTGCCTCTTTTTTGCCTTCGCCGCTTTGCCAATCAGCCTTGCGTCCATCGACAAAAACATGAGTGATACGCCGCGGCTATCAGCCACAGTAGTGGTCCCTGTGTAAGGCCTCATTCAACATGTCCAGTGGCCCTTTTAAAGGCCGGTGAAATCGCGTGACACAGATGGAACACTCAAGTTGTTTAAGGCCTCATTAATATAAGGCCAGTCGCCCTGAAAAAGGCTGGTGAAATCGCGTGACACAGATGGAATATTCAAGTTGACTCACACTCTGAGTAGCAGTAGGTGCCCGGTATTCGGCCAGCGAAATTCCTTGGCACTATTGACCCTTATACCGGGACCACTACCCTGTGCAAGGGAGATACAATATGATCTCTACATACAGCAGTAGTCGATATGTAAATAATACCATAGGATAATGTTGCTACGCATAGCAACGACAGTTAAGGGCAGGAAAGGAAGAGAGACTGTTGGAAACATGAATGAGGAAGGAAGAGGTGGCATCGACGAGAGCAATTTTTTCGACCCAGCTGATCGTCCACGACACAAGCAAGCGCCCGAGAGTACCCGCAGATAAGAAAATATCCGTGAAAACAGACACGCTCAAAAAAAGTTCCAGAAATAATATATATGGTGGCTGGGTGAGAGTTTTTTTTTTCTATTCGCAATTTCGGGGACGCCATATAGAACTACACTCATCCCTCGGTTGAAGACACCATTTTGAGGACACTCCCCCGATTAAGGACAGCTTTTTTTTCACAGGCATGGTGGCTCGCAGAACGTATGTACAACATTAGACGGGGTATCGACCTTAAGGACACTTCCCTGGCTTATGGACATCTGTTTAAACGAAAATCCATGTGTGTCCTAAGTCCTTACCCGAGGGACGACCGTACACTCCAAGACTCAAAGTAGTGAAGGCAAGGGGACGATGGAAGCAGCCACAATATGCAAAGGGAACCGAAACGAAGGCGAGTAGTTCGCTAAAACGTAGAAGCCTCCGCAGACTGCCGTTTCTGTCTTTAGTCCGGAGAGTGCCTTAGCACTGTCCCCTCACGGGGGTCGCAGATCATGGCCTTTTGAAACACTGTCTGTTTTTTTTTCAGCCGCACTGAGACTGAGGTCTTTCCATTGTTCGGCCGGTTTTGCGCGGTCCATGGTATCAAACACACGCACAGAGACACACACGGTATCCAGTTTGCTTTCGAGGGAAACATACAGATACAGGTATCTTCTGCCCCCTTTCGGTATGTATGGGGGGGGTGGCATGACCGATGCATACTCGACGCTGAAAACAACCCTCCCTAGGAAGGGATAGGGGATAGAATTTCGAGAGAGTGCGGTCTTGATTATAATAGTGATACCATTTACTTAAGTATTTATTTTTGTTGTATGTTTTTTTTGTTCTTTTTCCTTGCCCTCGCGTACCGAGTCGGGAGCGGTGGGCTCTCTGTAGTTGTCTCGTGCTGATTCATTGACCTCATTTGTCGGAACTATTTTTATTCGCGGCGCCTCCGACTCTTCGTGTCCCGTGCCAACAGCGATCAATACTTGGGTCCATTGTTATTGTGAAGCTTACTGCCAACTGGTTCTCTGCCCTGTCAGGATTACGAAAGTCGCAATTGTATTTTGGCGTTTGCATCAGTGAGAGAGAGAGAACCAATCGCCCTCTTCAGGGATGTGTCCCTTTCCAAAGGCCGTCGCCATTAATTGTCCCATTGTTTGTTATGCAGCGTGTTTTGCTTTCGTCTCGTCATAACATCTCATGTGAGCGTGTGAGTTCTTTCCATTTGAGATTCAGGGTCATGTCTCACCGGCTTGTGAATGGTCATATTTTAGTACCAGACGCCAATGATTTTCTGTTTCTCTTACATTTTTAGTTACAGCGTTTCCCACCGGGTTGCTACTGACTGCCTTCATGACGGACGGCATGTTCGCTCTGTTGCATTCGTATTTACAGCTCATGTTTGTGTGTATGATGGTCTTCATCACATACGGCAATGCTTCCTTTGTTTTGTCTCAACATAGCACAATGAGTCCATCTCTATGGTTTTGTGTATTTTTTCTTTCTTTACTGCAGAATCATGTCCCACCGGCTGGTGACGGTTTTGGTGACGGATGGCGACCTCCGCTCTCTCCAGACGGCCCTGTGGCATGGGAAACCTTCCGTGGTGCTACCGACGTCACCAGACCAGGTCAGGCACGAGGCAGACATAGGCCTGAATGTGCTTGGTACCTATGCACGTGTATCAGCGTCTCACGGGGCCCCTCTTCGTTGTATTGCTTTCAGTGTGGCCCTATGGTAGTGCGCTAGACACGAGAAATAGTTGGGATGGGCTCTTCGCCTTGGTTTGACTGTGATGTCTGTAGAGGCCGAGACAGGGCCACCGGACAAAAGGGGGTTCTGTACGATGGGTACTCCGACATAGCGGTCCCCCCTAAATAGTGTGAAGCGCCGATACGAGGGCACCAAGCAGCAAGATTGTTTGACCGATTCCATTCAGTTCAGTTGGAATACGCCGCTGTCGAAGAAACATCCCACAATAACGGTGAGTAATGGTTGGTTTGTCCACAATTGAAGGGCATACATTGCCACCGTCTTGCGCCATTCAGTATATAGCGGCGGTCCCCTCACTAGCGGCATTGAATGCGTTTGACACCACAATAGATACCTCTGTATCGGGGGAGTACCCGCTGTATACCGGCGCCTGTGCTTTTGGGCGTCTGCCTAAGATGTTGCTGGATTTCAGCAGGTTGCTGCTCTGGTGCAGCTCGAAAAATTGCGGTCCGATAGGGCACCCTTTGTCTGCACGTTGCACATAAGCATACCTTCCCTGCATTCTCTCTCTCACCTCTGATCCGGAGGATCTTCGGAAGAAAGATCCTTGTTTGACACCCCCACTTCCCGCGTAACGTGCTTACCTCCCTCTAATTTTTTTCAACCAACTTTCGGCAGGATATTCCCATGCCACCATGCGTGTATACCTACCCCTTGTGTTTGACGTACCTGCTCACCGCGTAACGGCCGTCCCTGCCTTCTCTTTCGTGCCATCGCCGGACGCGTGTGTTTGGCGCCGCGGGACAGAGGGAGGCGGCCGCCCGTTTGGCGCACAGCGGGGCAGGAGTGACTTGCCCTCCACCTTGCAACGCCACCAGCCTCACGGCCGCCGTCGTCGACGCACATGGCGCCGACATGCGGCGGGGGGCCCTCAGGTCTAGCGCGGCTCTTCACGAGGCGGGCGGGGTCGGTCGTGCGGGAGATTTGGTGAGATAGAAGTAGATCACGGCGGTTCTTTTTTTATTGTTGGTGTTGAGCTCTTTTCCGACGTGTTGGAGAATGTCTTCTTGTTGGCTGCTAACGTGTAATTGGCAGTGTTGGCCTGTGAAGACGAAGGGCTTGCTTGCTATTGGTGGATTCGGGGGCTCCGGTGTATGTATGGGGGGCCCACTTGTTGCTTGTTGTGGTGTAGGGGGAACCTTTGATTTGGTTTTGGGGGCCCGCCTTTTGTTTGTTGCGGTATACAAGTAGAGGGGAGAGCCTTCGTGTTTGGGTTAGGGGGCCCGGTTTGTTTTGGTGTCAATGCACGGCGTAATTACGGCCAACGCAGTTTGCTCCAGCCTTCACATACTCCCTACAACTCGTGATATGTATGTGGAGGCTGATGATCCCGCGCTTGCTGCCAAACGCTGTTGTTTGTCCGCTTCCCTGGCCTGACCGCTGTCGCCTTGTTAAGCTGGAAAACGAGCTCCGGACCCACCTGGCTGCGACCGCGCGGCGCCTGGGCTGTCCTCACGGAGACCCTTCCCTTTGGTGGGGGGTCGATGACGATCGTGATGGTGATGGTGATGGTGATGGTGATGTGCCCTCCTGGTGCTACCGCCGCCGCCGCCGTGAAGAGGAAGAAGAAGACCCCAGCGAAGACGACTGGTTCTCGTGGGAGCTGGGGGCGGAAGAGAGGTTCCCGCCCTCGCAAGGTTACGTTTCGGAAGGCTTGTCGTGGTTCCCGGACGACCCCGAGTGGGTCTGGAGAGAGATGTCCTGGCTTCAGAGGCACCTCGTTGACGTGTACGCCGTGTACGGAGCCCTCGTGATGGGCGTCGGGCTGCTCATGAAGCTCACGTGGAACCTTGTCTGGTGAGAAAGAGAGAGAGAGAGAAACGGGGGGGGGGGGG